AAGAACCATAAAGAAAGAAATTAACAATCAATAAAAGTATATTGTTAATCAACAAATCAAAAACCAATTCACTATACAATAATCACTAACCAAAACTCTTAAAGCTAAAATATCGTATATGAATCGATATCGAAGCTTAAAATGTAATGAATTTTGAACTGCGTATACATATATTCGTTGGCTATACGCCACCATATCCACCATCACAAGTGCAACCACCAGTACCACTAGTTTTATCACCTTGAGAACGAGGCTTGCTGCTAAGACAACAACACAAGAGACCTAATAATAATATAACTAACCATACAGAAGCTAATGATTGTACATATTTCATGTAAAATCCCATAACTAAACAATATAGATTTAATTTTTTTTTTTGACACAAAATTGAAGAGAGAACAACTTACTTAATTAGGAAAAAATAAGGTCTAATTATGGAAATATATATAAGTTTTTCTTGGAAAAAAGATAAGGGGAAGAATGTTGGAATAGGAAAAAGGAATAATGGGATCTTTTTGAAATTTGATTTTTAAGTTAAAGAGAGAAGGAGATAGTTTTTTTTTTTTGGTTGATTGAAATAGTGGTCCATTTTTTTATTTTATTTTTGAAAGAAGCCAAGATAACATGGACCAGCCTGTATTAAATTAAAGATAACGACTAATCAATATAATTGTTTAATTTATACATACGTCTCAAAATAAGTGATGTTTTTAAAAAAAAACAAAATTATTTTGAGACAAGTGTTTTGTTCTAGAAATTCTAGGCAAAAATAATGATAGTTTTCAGTCATAACCATGAATTAACGTACTATTTCTTTTTAATATAAGATACAAGTTGTCATATAAGACACCACATATGACACCAGTCTTTTATTTATTTAATTTTATATAACTTAAAAGTGTCTACTTGGACACACCTAATATTAAAGGGCAAAAATGACAACTGAGGTCAAGTTAAAAGATACGTATATATATTCTTACACCAATAAGCTAATAAAGCGATACTTATTTTGAGACAGAGGGAGTATATACTCCCCGGAGGGAGGGGGGGGGGGGGGAGACATATTAGAAGATCTAATCAGATTTAAATGGATTGAGCTAAATTTGATTGAATTGTAATCCACTAAAAAAAATCATTAACGGCAATTAATTATATATGTACTTTTAGGGACAATTAGGATTCTTTATATATGTCCCTAAAATGTTTAGCAACATTGGTTCTAATGATACTTAACTAATGCCGATAAAAACTTTAGCACTTTTTATTAATTTCAATATGTATTATCGCTAAAAATTATTTTTATTATAGTGATTCACTTATATAAATATGAATAAAATGGGTTTGACATGTAATTTAATTAATTACTTATACTTTAGTGTAAAGTCCCAGATTGTATCCATGAAGAATCATATCGGACACATAGTATATATCACTTTTCATGAGGTGAACTTTGCAGTTTGCACTAAAGTATTTAATGATAATATGTCACATGTACAATCTGTTAACAGCCTCACAAGCTATACATCCACTTACTCGTATTTTAATAATAATAATAATATATGATATATATTAAATAATATATATCGATATAAGGTGATATATATGATAAGGAGAATAAACAATTAGACACATTATAATAACAAATAAATTCACCTATAGCGTGCTATAGTTGCTCAACAATAACTATGCAATATTTATAATATTTACATACATATTTATGTAACTTTAATTTAAAATATGCAATATTTATAATATTTACATATATATTGATGTAGCTTTAATTTAAAATACAGGCGTAATAGGTAGTCCTATTCAAAATTTGAATTTATTACATTGATTTCGATCGCAGTTTTATCTCTATTTCACACTTTTTTTTCTAAAATATATGTGGATCTTATCTCTATGTTTATAAGCTATTTCTTATTATATTGATTATTCTTACTCGAAAGTCAAATTAAAACCAACTACTCTTATCAAATTTGAACCAACAATATTGCTTTACGTACGCATGATTCATGAGTATAATGGTGTTGTTAATACAGAACAGGTAATATTTAAACTTTAAAGATGATCAGAAAGCATTTTAGATTGTTGCAATTCTTATGACATATTTTTTTTTGTTTTTGTTAGTCTCAACAAACTTTTTATTCGGTAAATATTTAATGACATTATTAATATTTTAATCATGTTGAATATTTTTAAAATTTTGTATCAGGTTAAATAACACGACATAAAATATGACGGAAGTAGTAATAAGATAATAAGGAAAAGACACTTTTCCCACCACCCGCTTTTAATTTATGGCTTTTTTTTTCTACAGTAAAACAATAAAAATTTTGATTAATATTTTATGATATTTTATTAATATGTAAAAAATTGTAATATATAGTACCTTTTTATATAGTTATTAAATATTTAAATTTTTATTTAAAATATTAAATTAATATAAAATTAATCAAATTAACTTTTAAAAAATATAATATGACAAAAAAAAGTGATCGGAGAAAGCATTTTTTTTTATAAAAAAAAAAGCATCTTTCTTTAGTCAGCCAAATGCATGGCACTTTTCGATGTTCTCGTTGTCGAGTGATTTCTCTACACATTTCATACACATATTTCCCCTTGTGGCCTCGTGTCTTAATTTATTACTTTTTCGTTCATTTTTAGTTTATCAGCATATAAAAAATAATTTTTTTTATTTAATCTTAACATTGATGATAAATTTTCCAAATACATTAAAATTTATTTATTTATTTAAAGCTATACACAAATATATTAGTTTTTAAATTTAGTCATGTAACATCTCATGTGAGAAGAAGAATATTAACATAACGTGCATTACAAATTTGAAAACACAAAACTTAGATTTCTTGTGCTTCATGTCGAGTTGACTATAAGTTCACGTTCTACAATAATAATTAATAAACTATGTCACACTAACTTTCCACCCAAATCATTTGTCACCCCCCACAAATGGCCTAAAACAAGTGTAACACGTTCCAAATGTCAATTTAGCAACAGAAGACAAAAATATCTATATTATGGCTCGTATTATGATTGACAATTCCTCAATATTTTCCACACGACCTTTTATTCGGTAATTTTTATTTTATTTTTTCCAATTACTGCTCACAATTGAACAATTTGTGTGTCTAATACTTTCTATTTTGCAACATATCGCTTAAGGACTACAAGATTAGAGATAATTTCAATATATTCTACAGATTTTTATTTAAGACCACAATTAAAAAATCTACTTTTTGTCTAAAATAAAAAAAATAGAGAAATAAATTAAAACTGAGATAGTACTCTATCTAGCACAAGTACAAATCACAAGGAAAAAAACAAAGAGACAAATGGCTCAATAATGATCGAGTTATTGAATAAAAATAATCACCGGATGTAAACGGCCATGTGCTATCAAATTGCTCAAAGCTTAGCGTTTTGTCCATTTTGGTTAGATATAAAATCAAGAGACCCTCTCTGCATTTTCCGAGAAAAAAAGTGACCATTTTGGCTCCGAACTCCCAAATACCCAAGAAAGCAAGTAATCAAATAAATAACGCGATTTGAAAAAGGATCCTAAAGAAAAGAGACACCCCAGGAATATTTATAGTACACCAGGCAAAAACTTTAAACTGAACTCAGCTTTACTGCACTTTTGAACAGTAAGAGTAGTAAGGAGTTTCTCAAAGACATTAAGAATGAACTTCTAATACAGACCCCAACTTCCTGGGAAATACTTACTGTGCACCTATGTCCATAACTAATTTTTAGACGTACATGAATGGTAGAAGTCAGTACCAAATGATATGGTAAGAATTCAAGGAAATTTACAACCTGTGGCTGATCTGCAGATATCGCAGATTGTTACTTGAGAAAGCTGCCACGTCAAAGAAAACTATAGATTGAACCATCCACACTATATTAAAGCTCAGCATGATATAGCAAAGTCTCCAGAACTGCTGCTCCTATACAAATAGCAAAGAGGCTGTTACTACATGTCCAATGTAACGTAGCAGTGAACAACAATACAAGTCAACAAAAAATTGGTAGAAAGCTATCTGGGATCTATTAGCTTTTATGCTTCAAAGCTTAAACGACAACTGTGATATAATAAGAGTTTATTAAACTGAACTGTATAAGATTACTGGTAAAATCATAGAATGAGAGGCCAATGTGGGAGCTAACAGTTTCATGCCTCTCTGCTTTGACCTACCTCTGATTTAGTCACCTTTTAATTTTTAAAGCTAAACTGCCTAAGAATGCTTGATAAATCAATTAGAGACGCCGGAAACTATCCAATGAACCCAGCAATTATCACCAATGAATGGGAAAATAAAAATCAAAAGATGTCGAAGACCATATTAATTAATCTTTAGAGGAACTGAGGTATACAGTCAAACCTCTCTTTAGTGGCAGTGTTCGATGCTTAGATCTCATTTGACTGTTATAAACAAACGTATGCAAAATTAGAAAAGAGTATGAACCTAAAAAAGGCAAACACATAGCAGCCTTTCCTCGTGAAGTAACCGATAGACACCATTTATATACAATTTTTTTCCTTTTAGATATCCGTACTTGAATTTATGATGTATATGATATGATGATTACTGTATATATTTTAAGATTTTATTTTATACGTGATATATTTCTTACAATATATACACTATTTTTTTATGACCTACAAGATATACACTATTCGAGTACAACTATTATAGAGATACGATGAGTGTACTGCTATAATGAAATGGTATTGTTGTTATAGGTAGAACGGGAATGCTATTATAGAGAAGTAAAATATAACATGGAAAATCTATTCCGAAGAAAATCAGGCGATTCTAGCGAAATGACGTTATAAGGAACGACCATTATAACAAGGTCTGACAGTACTTGGAACACATGTTGCTGTTTCCACAACAAAAGATGAAAACTTAACAAAAAGGTCCAAGAAACATAAGGTTACCTGCTTAGGGATTCACAGACATAAAACCAACATGAAGTCAATAAATATATATTAGTGCCAAATGATAAAATGCCACGAAGATATAATAAATGATACAGTGACTCATCATGCTTGAAACATAAGGCTTAATACATAGTTTACCCCAGAGCTTGTAACCAAATGCCTTTTACACACCTTTCCTTTTCGGAGAATCTTTTACACACTAAACGTTTCACAAAGTGCGTCTAATACACACCACTTTTGCTAAAATCTACTAAATATTATGAAGGTGTAAACATGGCGTGCTGAGTGAAATTTCATGTAGATTTTTGCAGCTAAATACTAGTACTGCATTTCTAAATAACACCTCTTTTCTTCTTTGACAATTCACATCAATATACTTCTGTCTTTCTCTACTGTGAAGCACAAAGCTGAACTTACTCACTTTACCGTTAACAAGATTCCACTGCAATACCAACACAAAAGCTCATTATTACTACAACAAGGAGCTTGTAAAACTAAACTCCAACTTCTCTTTTGTTTGAAATCACAAATTCAGCAAATGGGTGCTTATTTCCTCTCCACTTCCTTTCATCTGTTTCTTGCTTTATTGTATCAGCCCCCCTTTGTGAAAGTTTTTGTTTCCTCTGTTTCTTGCATCTCATTGCCATTTTTTCATGCAACCGGACAGCACTTCTTCACCATTTATTATCTAGATTCTAATGTTTTGAAAAGTTGGTGGAAACATCCTTTCTGAAGCTTGCTCCATGGATAGCAACGGAGATGAAGGTGAATTTAAGGCAAGGAAGGAGTAAAAATGGGTCTTTTAACCCTTGTAGAGTCAAAATAAGTACTGGGATTTGTTGACACCACAGATAGACCGCTGATATGAGTAATAAACAAAAACATAATTAAGCTTTCACACGCTGTTTTCTTAGTGCTTGACGCACATGCCAGTTGAACAAAAGACTCTCCATGAAACTCTGGTGTGTAAAAGGTTTCCGTAAAGGAAAGGCGTATATAAAAGGGATTTAACCACAAGATCCAGTGGTAAACTTAGTGAATAGAAGTTCTCATTTTGTTCATATTTTTGTGATTCAGAACAACTTACAAAGCATCTTCAACTTTATTTTCTTTAGCTCCTAGAATCCCTTGGACAAGTTACTCTCAAAAATATTTTAGCATTTTTGCCAGCAACAAATTTAGCATGTCTATATCTTTTCTATATCTTTATAATACAATTTCTATACCACAGAAGAAGTCGGTCTCTAAAATAATATAACTTTCCTCAAAGTACATTTTGAATAGCCTGTAGATCCAACCTCTCATAGGTTTACACGATCCTCAGCTTTTCCAATGCTCAAGTCGAGTCAATCGCAACATCAAAAGTTTGATAAGCACATGTTTGACAATATAGCTTCTTTGACACTTATCCAAACAAGGATATGCAAGCACGTGAGGGAAATGAAAAGACAGGCATATCATTTCCTTGGCAGAAATAACAAGTATTCAATCAATCCTCATCTGGCTATCTAATCAGACACTTATTTGTTTTAAATTGCAGAGAGGTTTTGGAAAATAACAACTCGACAACTATTGTTCTTTAGTTTTAGAAAGGTAAACACAAACTAAATAGCTCACTCAAGGGTAGAAAATTGTACTAGTAAGTAAAAGTAAGATTATTTCAAGCATAAATAAACCATATTAATTTACAGACACAGGGGAAACAAAACAAACAGCCCATACAAGCATAATGAAGAATGAATAAACATAATGGAAGATCTCAGGATAGTAACTAACACGAAATGGACTCCGTGGAAGCTACAGCTCGCTATAGTTGCGCCAGACAGCTCGAAATTCCTCACGGAATGTGTTAAGGCGAGCCTTCAGATTAGGTGTCCTAAAGCTTGCATGAAGAAGAGTGGCTGAGAGAGAGCGAAGACATAGAGAGAGTCATTATTCATGCTGCAACAAAGGATTCGGAATAATATATTTCATAAGAAGAAAGAGAGTACTTACAAAGAAGCCCTATAGCCAATGCCCATAAGACAGTTAAGAGGCCACATGAAGCAAACCAAAGGAAGAAACTCGCTGCAAAATGTAGAGAAAGGAGCACAACACCATTTCATCTCAAAACTACTGAAGTTTCAATAGTAAAGAAAAAGCATAGAGAGAAAGGAATAATGAAGCGATAAAAGAGCCTAAAGCTTCCCATACCTAGAGAGAATATTAAGACAAACACCCAACGAGGCCTTCCACAAATGAAAATTGCTCGTTTAGCAGATGGACGCCCTCGAATAACAGGCCTGAAAATGATCAAATATGTTTCAGCATCAGTAGTGCATCTGGCTTACTTTTAAATTTTAAATTTCAAATTCATGCAGACTCACGTGAGTGGAGGCCTCATTTTTGCAGCTAAATGAGGAGAAAACTGCCTGACAGTTCTTGTCACCTTCTCACTGAAAGTGCCTGCGAAACTGGTGGAACAAATATTAACAACATGAAAAAGATGCAATAACAAGATGCAAATGAAGCTAGGGGGCTTTCATTCACATCTTAGTTTTCAGAGAGGTCAACTTCCTCCAATACCATTCAAAATTGTTATACATGAATTACTTACTTTAAAAGGGCATTTTTGTCTTTAAATTGTTTAATCCACACACTCTTAATCTACGTATTCTTATTCCACATTCTATCCCTCATAAAAAGTACATAGATTCGTGCATTACTTAATGCTGGTAAAGTTTATACCAATCAAACAATGCATTAATTATACGATGATTATTTTTTCTTATGCAAACAAACAGTGTATTATCTTATGGGGATTTTATGCAGGGATTAATCATTCCAGTAGAATGAACCAAACGACCTCTTATGTTTCTCATGCTTCTCCATGCTAACAGATAAGCTGCAGACAATCTAACTAAGTGCACAGATAGATGCTGATAACAATTATTCCATGAAAGTATTGACCCATCCCCAGAAACTTGACATCAACTCTACATTAAGATATATTCATTCTGGTTAAGGCTAAGGGCAATCGGTGAAAAGATTATCAATCAGGAAGAGGAAAGGAAAAATACTTTCCTATGAAGCATCCAGGTACAAGCAAAGGCTTCCAAAAAAATTGAGATTGTTGCTCACTTTTCTTTTTTTTGAAGGGCAGGTTGCTCAAGTATAATGGGAGATGTTAGTTCCTTATCCTTAAAGTTCATATTTTTTTAACATTTCTGCATTTGGAGTACTCTTTCCTTGCAGTAAACACAATATAAAGTGCGACCCACATTTGAGTTTTAGAGCTCAATAAGTCCTAAGAAATAACTATATGCTAAAAACATTATTACCAACCCTTCAGGGAATAGAGGAAAAACTAAGAAGGTTGGTTGAGAATCCAGAGTATCAAATCTAGAAAAGCATCTGGTTTGGATCAAGCACATCTTTTTCTATTTTTCTTAGTTAGTTCAATTCAATCTTGAGAGATGTAACTGAAGAATATAAACAAAAGGAAGAAAGAAAGAGAAGAACAGGGTCTTATCCCACCCAAGATGGCACATCATGTTCCCTTTTGCATGAGCAAAGATAGATATGGCTTCTAAAGTCACATACTCACTAAAACACCATAAATGTTAAGGGAACTTGGGCTGAGGACTTCTTTTTGAGAAGACAATCAAATAATATAAACTTGTTAACCTAGTCGTTGCAAGGGAAAAGAGAACCTAAATGGGAGTCCAAGCAAGCCATTTACAACCACATTGTAGACAAATATCCTCTTATTCTTTTTGCCTTAATGAGTAATCTAAGAAATACCTTTAGCCAAAAAAGAAAGCGGGGGTAGCTTAGTTATCCATAAGAAAAACCAACTGACCAATTTCACGGGAAACTGATTTATAACCAGAAAATAGATGTGGACGGTATGATTGTCAAGTCTCACCAATCTTGAAAAAGTTATATAGTGCTTAATATATACACATTACTACGATATAGCATTGTCGGTTTCTATAGACATATTCCTCCATCTTACGTACTATTTTTTAAACTATGGCGTCCGGGTCAGCTTGCGCAACTTGACTAATTCCACAAGATACTTATCACCTCCCACCAGTAACTTGTATGAGATAAGGTCCATCGAGGCTAGAAGTCTATAACATATGGGAAGAAAATCACCAAGTGTTTTGTCTCTACAGGAATTTGAACCTGAGACCTCAAGGTGTTCATTGATCACTCGACCACACCCTAGTGGTGTATTTCTTGAGTGAGTCAATGTGTTTCTCAACTTCGGCTTGGATTCTTAATACTTTTGACTGCTATGAGATATTCTCTCACATTCTATTTGTACAGATTGAAGCATCGAGGAAACATCAATTTGCTAATAGATTTCATTAGCCCAACCAATTATTGTTTGTTTTTGAAAGATGATAATGCAAAGACTTACCCCCAAAAAAAAACACTAACCTAATTGATGTAATTTTTTGTCTACAAGCAAAATCTTGAGGACTAAGAGAAAACCTAACAGCAGTCAGAAGTATTACAAATAAGATTCCAAGTTGAAGCATAAAAACACATTGATTCACATCAAGCAGAACAGCATGTCATCTAATAGTCCAAAAATAACTCAGCAGAGTAGTCAATCCTATACATCAATCCAAAACATATCCAGGTGAGCAAAGAAGTTACTCTGACTTTCTCTAAATATTATACAATGTAAGCAAGCATGAATAACATATTGAGCCAAAACTACTTAGCATAGTAGGCAGAAGCAGAAACGGGAAGTATAATCAATCTTGATTTAATAAGAAAAAAATTCTGATGGAAAGTCAAAAATCTAATCAGATAATGCAACAAATTATTACTCATGGATAACAGTCAATAAGTAAAATACCTATCATTTAGGAAAGCAATACTGAGAGTGGTCAAAAAAGCAGCAACAATAGCAAGTGGCCTCCTAAGAAACCCCAGTGCTGCAATACAAAAAGCACATAAAGTTATTGATAAGTCCAAAGAAAATACCCAGTGTAATCATCATATCTCTACTGCATGATTATTTGTCTCTTACCAAGAATAGCCACAATCATAATGAAGTAATTTGTCCGGTAGCTGCAACCATATACAGGAAACGAAAATCCAAGGAACCAGTATTAGTAAAGTTTCTCCACAAGTTTGAAACCCTATAGCACCACTTTAGTAATAATTTTTACAATTCATCTTGTGATCCACAATTCAGGGCTTTGATCTCAGTACCAAATTTTGAAAAGAACTTTTATCAAGTAAAACTTCCGATTCCAATGACAACACACATGAACTAGTAGCTTCTTAAAAAGTACATTTCCTTCTGCAAAGTAGATATCAGTAAACATATCCAACGCTGGTTCGTGCATTCAATTTATTAAAAAATTTAGAAAATCAGGTAATGTTTTACCATCAACTAATCTACTGAAAAAACATTAATCCATACATTCAATTGATTAAAAGTTACAACCTCTATGAAAACTTAATTCGGAAGTAACTTACGTATCTGAACAATGTTCATTTTGCCTGAAAACACAAGTTATCAATTTACTATCAAGCACAAATTCGCATTGACTTGATTCAAAATTTATAAGATCTCGAAAACAAAAACCATCTATCAATAATCAACTTACCGAGTTCTAATACCTTCTTTGAATTGATTAAAAATTAGCACATCTCGGAGTATTTTAGCAAGGAATTACGAAAAGCTAATCAATTGATGAAAACTAATTCTATTCCTTCTAACATAAACTTTTGAAGCTATAACAATTAATCGACTTATCAATCCTAACTAATGCAGACAATAGATTCAGAAACCAAATCAACTTGAAATTTTTAGCTAGAAACAAACTGAAACGTTAATACGCTTATACAATTACCTTATAATTACAGGTATACTGAGATAAAAAGGAGAATCTTACTAGTAAAGATTGCACTTGACTCGACTATTCCATTTGGATGAAGATCGGGGGAAAGTAAATCGGGAGAAGAATTCAGATGGCGGACGCGGCGGAGATGACCAGTCGACCTCGCGTAGAGCCTCGATCAGATCTTCTGTGGTTACGGTGCCCCAATCCATTTTTCGCCTTTGATTGATTCACGAGAAATCCTGTTGAAATTTTCGTGCAAGAGAAGTTTTTTCCGAAAGGAGAAGGAAAAAAAAATGATCGGAGAATTAATTTTCGAATTAACAATGATTGTGTTTTTGAGGATGAAAAGAGACGTGTTGTAGGGAGAGATTATATACTCTGAAAAAAAATTAAAATTAATATTAAAAAGTTTATGTGTGAGCCCGGGTTCGAACCGGGGACCTCTAGTGTGTGAGACTAGCGTGATAACCGACTACACCACCCAGACTTCGATGTTCAATGTTGACAAGACATAATACTTCATAAAACAACCTAAAGAGAATAAGCTTGGGTTTGCCTGTCTAGTTTTACGGAGAAATTTGTGTTGGGATTAGTTATGATGAATTATTTTTATGGGTTATCTGATTTGTCAAATATTTCACAATTTCTAAAAGTAAGTTATTTGTCTATAAAAATACATTCTATGATTTTGTTTTTTTAATGGTTAAAGAGGTATTTTTGTTATTTTGAAATAAGTTATCTCGAAATTAGTATTTCATCCGCAAGTAAGGATAACTAGCTCAGTCATAGTTATTGAGATTAAAAAATTATCCCCAAATTATATTTCTATATTCATCACATTGAACGACTCTTTATTCAACTATGAAATTTATGTTGATAAGTTTATTTAGCGGTTTATTCATAAGTTCGGTTGAAATATAGTAACTGTTTGTATGTTAAAGTTAAAAGCTTTGGAACGATAACTATGGAGTAATGATTCTTTACAAAATAAAGTAAATTATTAGAATTGATAGGAGAAAACGATAAATTCACAGTAACATAAATTACGAAGAGAATATTGACGATAATGACATCAAATGTGGATTTTTAGAGAGACTACTCTTAAGGATGGGAGAAGCATGTTATTCCTATTCTCTTGCAATGAAAGTTGAGACTAGTTAGAGAGTCAATTTCGTTTTTAATCCATCATAATGAGGAGATAATGAAAATTTTAATTTTATTTATTTATATGATGTTATAAAAAAAGTTGGAGAGGAATTAAAACAACAAATGATTGAATATATTTATATTTAAAATTATAATATATAAATTAAGACAAAAAATTATAATTATATCACTTCATAGTAATAGATCACGTTACATTTAAGTCTCTCCCCTGTAGGCCTCAAAGTCAATATGTTTTTTTATTAATAAGATATTAAAAAAAAGGTTAAGAGTGAAGTGAAGATAACAAATAATTAAATATATTTATTTTTTCAAATATTATAAGATAAATTAAGACATAGAGCTATAATTATGTGGTATTTATAATAATAGATCACGTCATATTTAAGTTCGTTTTTATATAGGCTTTAAGTCAATATGTTCTCTTATTTATAGGATGTTGCAAGAAAAAGTTCAAAATAAATTTAAAATAATAAATAATTAATAACTAATATTTTTTAAAAATTACAATAAATAAATTAGAAACATAAAATTATAATTATATGATCTTCACACAAATAGACCACGTCGCATTTAGTCCGTTCCCCTATATGGCTCAAGTCAATATGTTCACAAAGTGTACGACACAATGACCATAACTTCAAGCAAACCTTCCAACACTATCCTTCTCCCCCACACAATTATTAATTAAACCCCTAAAAAATTAATTAAGCTTTATAATCAAGATAAACTCTATTAATTTCTATTCTTATTAACTCAAATCATATATTTTTTCAATTTTCAAAGCTCGATCACCATCACCAGCTCAAATAAATCTCCCTTAATCTCAACTTTTAATTGAATTTGACCGCTGTGGACCTTCTTCTCTGGTAAGGCCGTGTTTGGTGGTGGACCTCTCCGATAAGGCCGTGTTTGGTGGTGGAAAATTCCGTTAGGGTTTTTGTGGAGATGGCTCAATCGATGAGCAGAGGAGGGAGGTCTGTAGTTGGGGACTATGTTGTTGGGAAGCAAATCGGTGCCGGCTCTTTCTCGACGGTTTGGCATGCTCGGCACCGAGCTCATGGAACAGAAGTGGCTATAAAAGAGATCGTTACGGCTCGGCTTAACAATAAGCTTCAGGAGAGTCTAAAGTCGGAAATTGTAATTTTGCAGAAGATCAATCATCCTAATATTATTCGCCTGCACGACATGATCGAGGTTCGTATCGTCAAATTCAGTTACAGATTTTTGTTTTTTTGTGCTAATCATTGAAATATGCATCTTTTTGCTAATTGAAATGCTAAACTTTATAGTCAAATTGTAGCTTCTCATAAAATTTAGGTTTTGTCTGAGTTGATGGAGCAACTGGAAATAATAGAGGTTGTGTGGATGCATGGAGTTTTGGATATTAGATTTATGCATTTGGTACTTTGAACAGTATAGAATTATATGCTCATTTTGCTCGTGCTTGAGATAATATCTGGTTGGTGAAAGTTTTCTATTGAAAGAAGGAACTCAATAAAGAAAATGCATGTTATGTGTTACCTTTTTAGTTGTCTTCGTGTTGTTATAAAGGATGTTTATATCTTTGTTTCTATAAACATGGTGGAAGGATATAGGTGATTAGAAAAATCTCAGTTGAATCTCAAGAAGTAGTGGGTATAGCTTTTTGGGTAGTTCAATGGAAACTAGAACTAAGCAGATTAAGCTTTTTATCTATCCCCGGAAAACTCTCAAACAACGTATCTAAGCTCTGCTTGGGCATAGTCTGTTACTTTGCTTAGTCTATAGTCCAAGTCTCGTGTCACTTAGTTTGTCTACTTTTTGGGTACACGTGTTACTGGTTACAAATCTGGTTAATGTACAAATGGAATGTCTTTCTGCTTCAATCATATATTTTCTTTCCTTTTTGATTTAAATGCAACAACATGCATGGAATATAGGAGGTGGGCAAAATATATATTGTTCTGGAGTACTGCAGAGGAGGAGATCTTTCTATGTACATTCAACAAAGCCAAGGGAGAATTCCAGAAGCAACTGCGAAACATTTTATGCAGCAACTTGGTTTGTCTGAACCTTCTAATTCTTTACGTAACTTTTCTTTTTCATATGTAGAGTGAGTGAATTTTTACTCTTGGATGAATTCAAAGATACTAATTTTCATTTCTTTACTGTAGCATCTGGTCTAAAAATCCTTCGTGACAACAATCTAATCCATAGGGATCTAAAGCCTCAGGTTTCACTTCCTTCTACTGTTTTACTGTAAATTTGTATTTAAACTTGCTGATTCCTCATAAGCCTCAGGTGTATCCCGGCCATAGTTTTTGTTGAAATTCATGGGCATCTAATGACTTCCCTCCTAGCTTTTCTATGTGTAAAAATATTTAAAGTTTGTGTGAGCTGCAAAGAGACTGTCCTGTTAGTTGTGCACCACATAGCACTTTTTGTAGCCATTTGTTGTATTAATTATCAACAGGAGCTTAGTATTTGGCAGCTTTAATGGATAAACGACAGATTGGAATGGTCCACATGACGCCAAGGTAATTGAGGTGTGAAATTGCTTCACTGTCGGGTAGCAATCACATCTCTTATACAGAGATTTTGAATAATCACCATATCTGCCTAGGACAAGATTCTTCAAAAAGACAAAAAAAAAAGGAAAAATGAAAGCGGCAAAGCGGATTAGTCTCTTTTAACAGATATGTAGTATACATATCAGCAAATTAGTAGATTCTAGTTGAGGGAGCTAAAGTTGTTTGGTTTCCTAGGAGTGATTCTTGCATGTCTGGTAATTCATTTATTCGTAGACAATAAGACTTCTTAAATTTTTTTGAGAATTTGACTGGTAGTGTTAGTGGAAATGGCCAATTCATTGACTTGTTCCTTTTGTCTCAATCCAACAGAATCTCCTCTTATCCTCAAGCAATGACCGCTCCACCTTGAAGATTGCTGATTTTGGATTTGCTAGGTAAAGTGATCCATTTGGTAAACGTCTTCTTGCTGATGTACCCCCCTTCTTCCATTTTGATTCATTTTCCGTTAGAACACTTTTCTATATTTTCTGTCCTTCTTTGACCCTCTATTTAAGTTTCAAGCTTACTAGCTGAATGTTTCCTAATTGGTCCACTCAAAAGTCATTAATAATGCAACCTCTATCTTTTGTTAGGTCTTTGCAACCTAGGGGTCTTGCTGAAACACTTTGTGGTTCACCATTGTACATGGCTCCAGAAATAATGCAACTTCAGAAGTATGATGCAAAGGTGATATATTCTTTCTATGTTTCCAATCCATAGTCTAGTAATATCATTCGAGTTCCCATTAACTTTGGGCTGCAAACGCAGGCAGATCTCTGGAGCGTCGGTGCCATCCTATTTCAGCTAGTAACTGGCAAAACCCCTTTTACCGGAAACAATCAAATCCAGGTTTAATATCTTCCAAGCATTGCAAAGTTCTTTGGGTAGCACTTTTTAGGTTCAATTTGTCCAGTGATATTAAAAGGCTTGACACAAAGTTCTGAACTTTCTCTCTCCATCTTGCTACAGTTGCTCCAGAACATATTGAAGTCGACTGAATTGCTGTTTCCTCCAAGTGCAAAAAATTTAAGTCCTAGCTGCATAGATTTGTGTAAAAGATTGTTGCGCCGTTATCCAGGTACTTCATTTGAGTGGTGTGGATTTTAACTGTGTATGATCTTTCACTGGCTTGATTACTTGTATCATAGTTTCCTACACGCTTTGCCATTGAGAGCTTTTCACATAGAGAAGGTCATATGTTATTGAGTATTTACCTCAACAATAGTAAATCCTGAATTTTCATTACCTATCAAATTCTCATTAAAATTTCAAACTTGTCTTTCGTGTATCCTTAATACACAGTGGAGCGGTTGACATTTGAAGAGTTCTTTAACCACCCATTTCTTGCACAGAAGCAGCCAGATGAGCTGTCTTGGTAAAATAGTTCATGAATTCTAGTTCTCGTTATTACAAATTTTTTATCTTTCGGATTTGATTTATGTTGGACATGGTCAGCAGGGATACGAGACCTCAAAGGGTAATAGGTGGTTTTCCTATATCAGAAGGCTATCCTGCGAGGGGCTCAGAGGAAACTTTTCAAGAAGATGGTTTACCCTTTAGTCTAGATGATTATTCCAGCGGTCCTTCATTTACTGGGAGATCACCACAGAGGTTGTCATATGGTTTTTCTTGTGA